TGTTTAAATGTTTCAACAGGTCTTTTAAATAAACAAGAGAAACGTGTTTCTGAACATCACATGTTTTGGCGGTCCAATGAAAATAGGAAACTGGAAGTGTATTGAAAAAGAAACGCGCGTTTTTCGATTCAGAAGGAAATACATGTAATGCGCGGTATATGCTGCGTACGATATTGCGTTCGAACGGCGAGATAAGACATAAAACGTCTTAATTACATAGGTACGCTTTATGGACGAAAATACTATAAACACGATTCTGCGGTATTGTGAAAGTCAAACCCAGGAATTGCCTCGAACAACGCAACGGTAGCATACACGGATATGGTTAAGTATTTCGTTTATTCTATCCTTAGCAACGATAACCCCGGTATTTGTGCGCGTACATTCCGAAAGAGTACCAAACAGTCCTTTACAATTTTTAATGAATAATCTATCGCACATAAAAAAAAGGCATCCATCGGTGTTCTGCATCCACCGCGAAAGTAGCGTTTTATTATTATCCAGCAGTATAACTTAAAGTATCATTGAATTTTAAATTATTGTTCCGTGAACTACATGGTTCTTTATTGAATCGACGTACGACTAGCTACAGAAATAATACTCCGAAAAACAGTATTCCATTTTCTCTTAAATTCCGCAGGAATAACACTTGACTCCGGTTAATATTTAAAAATCTATATTGTTTGTGTGTAGGTTTCTTGTATGAGATTGTACCTATGTGATTTAGCAGCAAGAAAGTGTTATTGAACTAACTTCTTTGTCTTGTAATTTAAAATAATCTTTTACTGTGACATTATTCAAACAATGTAAAAATGTTTACGAATATAAAATCAATAAAAATATACATAGACAATTATCAAATATTTATATTTATAATTTTATTTGGTATATATGATCAAACGCTAAAAAAACAATTTCTATTTTCAATCATACATTTTTAATTTACTTTAAAACTTAATTGATCTGAGCAATATGTTAATTTATAAAAAAATCTATTATAAGTTTTTAATTTTAATTTTAGTTCAATAAGTATTCGATTAAAATGTATACATTAAAATAAGTAAAAATATTATTTATTTTATCCCGTTAACTACTGCATAATAAAACAATACAACCAAACACACAAAATAAATATTTGCTTACTAAAAAACTTTATAGTATCGTACATAAATTAATTTAATTCGACAAGATATAATTTAAAAATGCATTTGATAAACTTATAAAATACAGAAAATATTTGATATCGGATTAAACTTTCTGATAAACAAAAATATCTACAAAGTACAACTTAAACCGCAATATCTATGACATTTACATATTGGAATCCTTATATTATTCAATGACATTTAAATCATTATTATATTTTTCATATTATGTTATATATAAACATTAGACTTAACGAAACATTACAATTTATATTTTTTAAATTTAATTTGAGATTGACAATAATTTGAAATGGTTTTAAATAAATAAATAAATAATTAATTTTATTTTTAGAAATATATTTTTCTTAAAAGTTCGCTATTCGAAATTAAAATGAAAAAGGTGTTAATTGTAATGCTTTCACATGAAATATATAAATAACATACTGTAACTAATAGTTGAACAGTTATTGAATTGTGGACAATCTAAGTAACAAAGAATTAATTATAATTTTAGTTTTTAAACGCCAAATACAAATAAATATAAAATGCTATCTTTAAAATTTCATAAATATTACCCGGGTCAAATTTCTTTTTAAGAAAAAGTTTTAGGGTTGCATATGACTATATAAGTATATGTAAATATAGAGAGGAAAATTTCAAAATATATTATATAAGTAAAGTTGTTTTACATGGTCGAAGTAAAAATTTCCAATGTATTGTAGAAATGTAAATTACAAACCATATTTTGTTGAATGGATTTTTTTGCAAAATAAATAAAATTTAAATCAATGATAACCGATGTACTCGTTTCATTTGATTTCACCTAAAACTGTGATTTCTTAAATAAATAGAAACAAATAAACATCATAATAAATAAGTCAGATACATTAATTTTAATAATTGATTGACCATATTTTTGGGACAACAAGTTTTTTAAATTACGTGTTATCATGTTCTTTGTGCCTTGCCGAGGTCTAGTTAAATTAAAATATGTGCCAGATGAATCAAGTGCAATGAAATCAAAAAAGTATACATAACATTGGCGTCATATTGAAATATTTTTCTTTCTTCTGGAATAACTGAAAGATGTACAGTTATTTGATTTTTATTATTAATAGTAATATTGTTACTATTTTTATTATTATTATTGTTGTTATTTTGGCCATCCTAAGTAATAAGAGGTGTTGGAAATTTCTCTTAAATTACATATCACATCCAATTCCTCGACGGTTTCTGATCGAATCGAATTGCGATAAGAGTTGGGCAGGAGTAAAAATACGTTTTATTAATTTTAATAGAGAAAAATCGAAAATTTTCACCTAAATTACGTCTGTCCGTGTGTTATATTGTATACACCGTAACGAAATAGCTAATCAAACGGAATCTGATTTGGTTCTTCTTTATAAATATAATATATTTCCCGTTTATTTGTACTCGACAATTGAAAATATATCTATATTATTTCAACTAAGAATAAATAAATATATATATACAAGGAATGAACTCCCATGGTTATATTTATACAGTGACGTCACACAATTAGTGTGATTGAAACACCGGGAGAAGATCTGAGGAATTATTATTAATAATTAAGTTCGAGGGTTTTTTGCTAATTAGTTTTTGAAATGTAATAGCAAAACTGATTTAACTCATAAATCATAAAAAATATGTTACGCTAATTCGATCAAAACGGCTGAGGATTTTTTTCCTTCCTCCGAAACTCTGGCCTCCTTAAAATACACAGGTTATAGATTCAGAATAGTATTCAGTATTATGGAATTGACACAAAAAAATCATCATGTTCACCGTATTATGTGTGAACACAAACATTTGAAATGCTTCTATAAGATCCATATCGGTTAAATATTTTTCTTGTTACATTTCCTGTTCGTTTATAGATGAGTGATGACATTTGGACTAGAAAGTCTCTATTGGGGTACAGAAAAAATAACCTAATCAGCGATGTGAATATTACATCATGCCGTTTGTTTAGTTTTGCAAATGCAGTGAAAAAAATGCATCTGTTTATTTCGCTAATATATTTATGTATTGTAACAATCGCGGTATCGGATTTCGATATCATTTTCAGTTATATTAAATTATATTTTTTTAGAAAAAAAAAATAGAGTGTAATATAATGTTAGTAAAATTTTAACATTGAATACAGAAGAAAACACACTTAAGTTGTAAATAGAGAAATGTTATTTAAATAGTAATAGCGATTAAATTATAGTTTTGCAATTTCTAATTCATGGGTCATGTAGTTGATAACTATCAGGCTTATAACAAAGAGGAAGGGGTTTTATTAATTTGTATAATTCATAGTAAATTCGTTGTAAATTCATAGTAAATGTTTTCATGAATGGTATTAAGCAAATTTTATGCAATTTGTACACGCAGAGAAAATATAAATAATATGTTACGCTTAAAAAAAAAAATTCAATATCGTTGTTCATACATATTAAAAAAAAAAAATAATCAAGTGAAATTCATAAATATTAAATAATACAGGGCCTTAATCAAAATTAGTGATATTTTAAACCCTGCGAACAACTTTATGTTTAGTTTTTTTTATTTGACGTTTCCTCATTTCCGAAAGTTTAGTCAAAACTTTTCATGTTGATGTGCGTTTTTTTGAAAGATATAAAAAAGTAAAATCTTCTGATAAATTATTATTAGTAGTATTATAATTATAGGAAAAATAAAAACATGTTATTATATATTATTATTATATTACACTATACAGGATTAAAGTCAGTAATCCGTAGGAGGAATATTATAATAATACAAATCCGCCCATAGAACATGTATATGACGTTTTATTATTATACGATCGTTGGTTAATTTAGTATTAATCAGTAAAAAATTATATTATTTTGAATATTATTATTTTTTGAAATATCAGTTTGTACACGCATACGTTTTAATTATATTAAATATTATTAATTCAAAAGCTGTTCAGTCGTATATTTTAAACTTATCGAACTTATTTTCTATTAGTCATTATGCAAGTCGTTTACCGATACATATATGCCTATAAACACGATGTTAAATAATTAAAATTAATTTTTTGGCAAATTGACATAGTTTTAATTAATATGAACACTAAAGTTTCCGCAGAACCTTTTTCCAAACTAAGTGATATTTTTCTATCATTTTAAAAAACAAAAACATCATAACATTAGGTTTTTAATTTAATATCCCGAAAATTGTATATATAATTTAATTAGCAGAAATATCATGTACTATTATTGGGATTATTCGAGTCATGCGTATTATGAATGTAACATACAAAAAAAATCCACTACGCAAAATAACGAGATAAGTGTAGGTATTCAACAGATAAAAAATATCTGTAATATCTATAAGAAATAAAGTATCACCTAATATATTGTGTAGGTCGGATAATAATACAAAATTCATATCGTATATACAACAGCCGACTGGAGCATGGCGCAATCGTAGACGCGAAATAATGTAAAAAAACCAAATAAATAAAACGAAATTATGGATTCGCACGTCCGCGATGGTAACACTTCCCGTCCAACGGGTCGCCGATAAAACAAGCGAAATGTAATAATATTCAATGTGCATTCCGTACAGAATAAACGCGGTAAAATATATTATGCGCGTAGAAAATATGTAAAACAGTTTAATAAAACGACAACGGATGACTTAATTATGATGACAACGCGGCGCGCGTGTACAGTTGTACGGTATATATTACACACGATGTATACGACAGACAAGTCCGAGTCTTGGAGAAAGTGAATCTCCCCTACTAAGTGCCCGCCGGTGTGTGTCTTCCTCCTTATCCTGGCGCACAAGGTACCGCCGTCGCCTGCGTCATGCAGTTCCCCCCAATGCCAAACGATCGCTTTAGATGACCGCACGTCCGGTTTTATTTTTCTTCGCCGGCGCGCCACAGCAACCGGACAACATTTCACGACCACTATAGCATATACTATCACCGCAAACTCGCCCCACGTCGTCTTCAGTCGTCCGATAGCCGTAGTCGTGTCCATACACCGTATATCGCGTCCGACCACTGAGTTTTACGCACCCGAGACGTAGGCCCGCAAGAGGTGAACATTTTCCGATCGAACGCTTTCATCGAATACCGCGATCCTAAAGCCCACCGCCGCTGAACCGTTCAATTCTCCACGATATATTGTCGTCGTTGCACGCCGGAAAAACGTAAGTCATACCGCTGCGAACATCACGACGCATGCATAGCGATTGCGCATTTACATATTACTTTGTCAAAGTTAGGATCGTATCCACCATTAGGTCGGCGTTGAAAACATATTTTTTTTTTGATTTTTATCACGCATGCGTTTAGGTCGTTTAAAAAAATAGCAAAATAATGTACGTGTTAGTTCAATAAAGTTACAGTTCTAGAAAGATTTGATCACCGAAAACATTTAGTTTCCCAATAAAATGGGATGCAAAAATTGTTTTTACAAAAATCATCGTGAGTCACGATCAAATCATCTGAAACGGAAATTAAATAATATTGATCATCTGTGTTATGCAATTCCACTCATATTACTTGTTTTTCATGGCATTTATATTTTCAACTTTTATTAACATGCGTTTTATCCGTTCTAATTCATTTTAAAATTCAGAAAAAATTAAATGTTTCAAGTACTGATTATTGGTGATGATGGAGTTTTCACGGCAATGTTATTGCGATATTTTTTTTTTACTTTGATACTTCACGCAGGTTAACTAACTTATATATGAATAACGATTTGTAAAGCTTTTCAAGAACATCTGATATAATCCATGTATATATCGCATACACAAAAACTTTATTAGATTTTACCCACAGTTATGTCAAATATTTGTAATGCAATAATTCATTTTTTTCCCAACTCTATTTTTGTGTAATCAAACTCCGCGTGAAACTTGCACCGTATAAATTTGTACTGAATAAATTCTGTAGATGTTATAATAAAATTTTTCTCAAATTCAATAAATAATGAAATATATGGCTCATTAAATAACATTTGCTAAACTACAACAAATATTTGAAGACTTTTTTTTTTTTTATTATAAAATTCTTATGTCATATGGTATTTAATGTGTCCAACCGTAATGCCATGCTGTAGTTAAGACAATATATCTTGGTTTCACAAATCGAGGCACTCGAGCAAAACATCAAAAGACAACTAGACTCGTTTTTGTTTGAGTTGACGATTATCCGAGTGTAAAAGTTTCGTATTTTTAAGAATAAAAGTTTGTTGTTTCTTGAGTAATGAGATCTTAAGATTAATATATAGAAGAAGTAAAGCACTAGTTGCATGAAAATATTTAAATTCTTTCAGTTTTAAATGTTAAACGAATCACTTTTTACACATTTAATTATATTAATTTTGAGCTCGATTGGGAGAATACGTAGAAAACTTTGAAATACTCTTTTCGCATCCGCTTTAATTTATAGGATTTCGGTTTAACTTTGCATCCATCGAATTTAATCATTTTGATCGATCTTACAAGTTTCACAGGGGTCAAGTACTCGTAATAAAAAGTAAAAAATAAACCGACAGAGCATATGAAAATACATCAATATGAGGGTTTTTAAGTACAGTAGTTGAATCCAGTTAATGGAATCGTAATTACTTTTAGACCTAAAAGTCATAGTAAATAGGGGAATCTGATTATTTTTCAACTCGGCCGGTGAAGAATGATAATTGCATGATTTAGCCACGGGGAGAAAATCGAGAAAATAAAAATGGATGTGAATATATAGAAAGCTCCAGAGCGCATATTCGATCAAACTAATTTCAGTCAAAATGATTTTAATTAATTTCACGGGTTTTTTTTTATGCGTTCTATTATGCTCATTTTGTAAAAACACGTTTATTCGATTTTTAAATACACGCTTACTAATGATGTTTGACTTGTTTTTCTGATAAAGTAAACTTATTAACTGGTAACTACTATATATTCAGTTTACTATTTAGGTTGATTATTAACCTAAATATATATATTATGATAATATTAATAATAAAAATTTTTATTTTTACTTATTATAATTTGTGAGTAAATATATGTCACTTGGTATAACAGACCAGCGGAAGTGTTTCAAAACTATGATGTATACATTTTAATTTTACTAATTAATATTCATACGTTTAGTGCACGTTAGTTTTTTTTTTCTTTTAATATTCTTATGAAGGAAACAATTATAATTTGTTAAGATTTAATGTTAAAAATTATTATGCTTTAGTGATGATTGACATAAAATTAACTTTCTGGTGTACACATTATTTCAGTTTAGGTGTAAAAAATATTACATTCTAGCCTAAAAATAAATTTAACACCGAAGGAAAAATGTTTATGTCAAGATACATTCAATTCAAATATACCTATAACAGAGCATTATCACATACATTTACTAAAATGATCATTAAATATAAAGAAAAAAAGAAAATTAAAAACACATTTATGATTCTCGAAATACATTTCTGTGCTAAACACTACATAGATTATTGCCATTTTTCCGAAAGTAGTTAAACTATTAAATTATTCTATTTGTATTGGTTCATTTGCAGTTGTTTTAATAATTTTTCAAAACTGTAATTTCACTATACCCATTATTATATACTATAGTTATTCAATTATGTCGTTTCACCACAAGCCAAGGCTAATTTATCATTTGTTGATGACACTTAATTTTAACGTCAACCAATCCTGCGAGTCAACAAAACACTCAAATTTTAAAATAATTTCATTAATTTTAAATACTTATTATGTCTATTATTTAAACTCTACAGCGTCTAGAGCAAATTATTTTTGACATCAAATCACATTCTATCAAGAGGGGAATTGGATTCTATTTTTTTTTTTTTTTTTTTACTAGTTACGATATTTATAGTGTATTAAATGTTTGGTCACCAGATATATTTTCCCTGAGAATTTAATGTTATAATTTTATTACGAGAAATTTGATCCTTTTACTATTTTTTTTCCCATAACTTCACATAACAAAATATCAGTTAACGAATTCGTTCTCTTTCCTTTCCAATAATTATTGGGTCTTGGACCCATAAAATATATCACATTTTATATATATGTATATATAAATCGGCAAACATCAAGAATATTAAATTTTTTAAAGGTAGAAGTGATTAATTTTTATATATGGATTAACCATAAATATTGCTTTGTACATAAACATTTAAGCACTCCTAACCATTATTTTTGTCCAATTATAGAGATTAATTTGGTAGATATTCGATAAGAAGTCAAAATTCTATACTGTAAATCAATATAATATGCATTTGTAAATTCTAGTTAATTCTAGTTTCATAAATTATTCTATGATAACAGTATAATAATTGTTCTTTTAAATTATTGTTTTTAAATTATCATTCAAACAAAGAAACTTTAAATTAAATAATAAAAATGCTAAATATTTGTAAACGACATAAATACAATTTAAAATGGTTCTAAAATGTGGGTACTTTAATTTGACTGAATGTCATAAAATTACAAGTAAAATAAATTAAAACCAAAATAAGGTATTATTAAGGTTTTAGCTAAATATTAATATAATATAGATCTAATATATTAACAAAACTGATAATTAGCTATACTTAATAAGGTATTAAAATAATACGCGTCAAATCGTTCAGATTTTATATAATATTATCATAAATTTTATTGAATTGATAATCTTATTAGTAAACATGAAAATAGAGAGACGAACGAACGGTTGAAGTATAAGGAAATGGTAACGTAGATTCGATTAAATTACTTTGCTTTCGTTTAATTATTTTCCTTCCACTTGAATTAAAAAAATATTTATCCAGTCAACTTATCGCCTCGACGCATATACAGAATTTAAATCTATTTCGTCCGGCTAAGCGCCAGCGTAGCAAGAGCCGTGGTACTGGCGACGGTAACGAAAACAACGACACACGCTTCTAAATTGGACATTTCTCGTAGGCAATTGTTAAACACATTATATTTATATATTTATTGTTGCTATTATTATTATTATTAACATTATTATTGGCAAATCCATTAGAATTGTGCAACCGAATATCCCAATGCTCAATCGTTCGAATCACGTACTTGATCGAAATGCATTAACGCCAGAAATAGGGCCACGCGTAAACATATATAATATACTATACATATACTATACCTATAACACGCATTGTTCTTATCACTCTAGACTATTATCGCAGCTGGACAGGTAACAATAGTCGCGGTTACCGCAGGCCAAATGAATAAAATTGACTTGTCGCAATTGTATAATATATATAAATAATAATAATAATCATAATAATAAAAAAAAAAAAATTGGATCACACTGGCATGTGTGCACGTTGATTCAACGATATTTTCAAGACGGATGTGACAACAAATAAATACATATGTACACAGTGGTTTGTCCAACGGTTATAACTACGTCACATTCTAGTGGACGTTTTTTTTTTTTCGGAACCAATTACAATAAATCGAAATTATTGTACATACATTGGCTACATATTATTGGGATGAAAAAGTAAACGTTTTATAAAATAATACTTTTCGCGGTTTTTACGCCCAGGAAAAAAAATGGATCGTACATAGCATAACATTTGTAAAAATTATTTCAACACTGCGGTATACGTGCAAAACAACAGAGAGAGAAAGATCGTATAACGTAAGGAACAAAATAAATTTAAAAAGAAAAATACAAACATATTATATTCTATATCCGTTTAGATGTGTATCAACTGTTAATGCGAGATTAGACATACAGGACTGCAGTAATCTTCGATCGCGTATCTGCTGTTCTATTCTAAGAAATACGTGAATCAACAGTTACGTAGGTTTGCAAATGTTCAGCGAAAAATTAAAGTTATAATTAGTTATTAATTATTAAAACTAAATGTTATAAGAAGCGACGAATGAAATTCTAATTTACGCGTTAAATTAATTGTATTTTCTTATACATTTTTAATACCCTTTTATTCTCTCGTTTACTTTAAGGACCACGTAAAAGTTAATGTGAATCAAAACATCTTTTCAATTACACACATGGAAATATTCTTTTGGGTAGAAACTTTTCCGGAATAATATATTTCAGAAATACATTTTTGAGAATCCAAGACAATATTAATTTATTCATACGACTCGTTGACAAATCATATAAGTACAGCAGTCCCAGATGTTCGATCATAATTTATTTGAAACTT